TTGTGTTCCAGTGGGTGGTGGGAGTCAAAACGCAAATATTGGTCTGTGTGGGTGGGCTTACGATACACGCCAGTTTCCAACCGTCCTCCATCCGAAACCGAGACATCGCAATGCCATATGGCAGGTTGGCGTTCCTGGATTGTGATGAATGTTGGTTTGAGAGAGGAGTAAAAGAAGCCATTTTTGTGAAGAAAGACCGTCCATCATTAAACAGAGGTGGGGGCCTCCGTTTTCAGCTGTCCCCCTCCTACAGCGCTGCCATTGGCAGTATCTCTTCACCCCCTGCTAACAATAGGTATTAATTAGGTGTGAACGATAGCCAAGTGATGTGAGTATCAGTCACCTGGAGGCAGGACTCAAAAGCCTGAATTTTGCCTGAAACTCTCAGACTGAAGAAGTCTCTTGGAAGAGAGACGAAACGTTTCATTAGAGAAGAACCCGTCCAGAGGACCTATACAATTTTTTTCCTTTTGATTTTTTACCTGGATTACTGAGATGCATCAGGACACCTTTGTATATAGCGTTGTTTGCACTCTATATGCAAAACAGTATCTTGTCAAGATTACATAAACAAGCATTGGCGCATTATAATTACTTAAATTAGGACATCCTGCCAGGCTAACAAAACGAGCCCATGTTGTGTGATCATTAGCCAGTAGGGGGAGGCGAACACAAGTCTGGGTGGAATAAAAACGCTAAAGCCTTATTTAAAGGTGTGAAAACTACACCATCAAATTCATGCTTCATTGTTCTCTACTGGTAACGCTTCTCAGAGTTATGTCTTTTAAAGGCAGAATTTTGTGTTTGGGATAGCGCTTTGTTTGATTGTCAACAAGTATTTAGTAACATGCTGAGAAAATCCCATCCTGTCACATATGGAACGCTTACATAAGAAATGAACTGGGTAGAATAGAATAAACCATCTTTTTCTTTCCTTTCTTTTTCTTGAAGATGAGCAACGTAAATGATCACTCGTCAAACATGAGAAGTTTATCCAACTTGACAGTTTGAAAGCTGACAATAAAGGATATTTTCGCAAAAGAAGAATTGGAAGGTAATTGGATCTGTCACAGAAACAAACACTCACTCTCAGAGGTACACGCTCACTAACACACTGTTCCCATCTGTCTGTGTGCTGCAGCACTGCAGAGGTTGTGAAGCTGTTGGCAGACCGTGGGATCTACAGATCAAAGAGCAGCCCCCCCGTCGAGGTCTGAAGTCCCGAGGAACACGAGTCGCTATGGGCAAGAGCCAGCATCACATCCCCAGCTAATTAACTAAAMCCCTTTTGACACCATGTTATTTGCATTCCTGATGTACAGCACTCAGAGAAGTATCTGCTGCACATATTAAAATCGGAAACGCTTGTTGTTTTGTCTAACAAGGCACCCCAGTGTTTTTAGCACAAATACATTTGTAATCACYTTAAAACGTGGTAACAGAGGCTACATGGTGGAGGTGAATTACTGAGATATGATTCAATTTTAAAACCTAATTAAATGAGCATGTGTGCAGGATCTATGTTATGAACGATGGCAGTGCACCCTTGAGGTTCACCTCAGTGAAGGGCACTGAACTCTCAAGAGTCCTCAAGTGCAGCCGTTCGATCTCGGCGCTCACTAAAAGGGGAGAAAGCAGCGTGAATTATAAATCAAGAGGCTTTAAATGGATATGTAGATCAGCAAGCAGTTGTGTTTGGTGTCCTCAATAATTAATTACTTGTTTGCAATGGAGTGGACCTTGCTACTTTTATTGCACGGCTTTGTGTATGCAAACAAACCCTCCCTGGCAGTAAGAAGCTGCCAGGCTGTGAGGAGAGCTCCTGCAGCACGCTGACATCCCAAGGAAAGGTCAACACTACAGGGGGGCTTTCTTGTAATTTGTGAATGTTTCTATTTTTATACTGTGATGACTAAGACTCCCTGAATGATTATAAAAACTGTCATTTTTTTTGCTTGACTGCACTTCTTAGAGCTTAGCTTGCTCGGGTTAAAACAGTGTGAAGTCCTCASATGGTTGTTTAAATGAGTGCATGTTCAGTGGCTGATAAATACTGCTGCATCTCTCAATATATGAACCACTTYCTGCCAACAACTCCACTAACATACATTTTTACAGCAAATCACAGCAAGTTTCTGTGTTTCTACAAAAAAAAGATGGACGGATGGGTTTTCCTTACCACAGCCCTTTGGCCACTTCTCCATGGGTCTCCTGAAACAGCCAAGTAAGCAGACTATGGGGGAGGATGAAGTAGCCCACCCTCTTCCCTGTGAGGAGCAAAATGATGAATTGTGTAGAATCTTTTTTGGCACACCCCCCACCCCAAACCACCACCATCGCAAAGATTAAGCTAGCAACACCAGGAAAGAGCTGATGCAGCCGGAGCAGAGGAGGGCCCATTAGAAACATGCTCCTGTCGGTCTTTGTGTCCAACCGGGTGACACCTCGCCCCTTAATGAGCAGTCTGAAGTGAAACTGGAGAAATACCACCACAATAAATTACCAGGCTCGTCGCTTCTTGTTTGTCTCGGCTCAGACATGGCTGAGTAATCTTTCTAWCTGAACTCACATCATCCAGAATGAGATTCTGTTGAAGCACATTCTACAATCTGTGGAGCCATTTGCATAACTACATTTGATGTTCCCGGCCAAACGGGCCGCATGTTTTTTCTGCAGTTAATTAGATTCTGGAATTAGTTTTTCTTTTATAAAAAAAAAGAAGTAAAGAAAAAAGGAAATACAGGATGGTTTTTCCTCCGCTTGGATTTCTTTTCCATTTTGGAAGTGACAAGATAAAATTGTGTATGAGGATAATTGCATGGCAGTGCTGGAATTGGAGCTGGAGAGAGAATGTGTTTTTGCTGTTCAGAGTTAATACTCTATCCCAGCTCCAGTCTATTTAGCATGCTCGGTGTGGAGCRCTCACTTTGACATAGCAAACCTCATTAAGATAGAGCAAACTAATTCACTTGAGAAGAGCTAATTCTTCATATCTGTCTTTTCTTGTTGAGATATAAAGACAAACTAAAATTGGGCGTTAAGGTTATATGCAGCTGATGGTAGAGCTCTTGCTCTGCTCTTATTCTAACATACTGTATTTACTTTAGATTAAAGAGTCAGTGGAGAGGACACAACCTGAAGCTAACTTTGAATAGATTCTGACAAAATTAGAGAAAGAGCTGAGCGTTCACAAGGCAAGCCCCCCCCTGTGGACAAAATGTCAAGAGACTGAAGCACGAGATCAGCTCACATGCAGAATGAGCACAGCTAACACTTTTTTAAAGCACAGGAGGAAGAGGAGGGAGTAAAAGAAGGACAGAGAAAAATGAAGGGAATGGATGAAGCTTGACCTGCAATGAGCAGACATCTATTAAATCAAGCACTCAGCATGGAAAACAACACCCCCTAACAGACAAATGCCACAGCAATTAATCAGTGCTTGAATGCCAAATGTATCAATAATCTTTGTAACACACATACAGTCCTCAAAACAAACTATTCTTTGTTATTTTTTGTGGATGTAGTCTAGCAACTTGTTATTTCTCAGTGTCAAACTAGAACGCACACAGAGAAAGAGAAGGAATACATCATTTCCAGAGTCTCCCAGCACCGCCTGCAGATGGCACATATTTTACTCTGCGGGGAGTTGCAAATTTCTTTTGAATAACCAAGGTCTAATTGACAGAAAAAGAATGTGCTGTCACTTCGCTGGTGCGACTGTCATTAACACATTTTTCATTTTGTAACATGCTCCGAGGCATTATTGTTTTGTTGGCCCCGATCCCTCCCCAGTGTAGTGAATATGTTTTAAAATGGTTGTGAGCAGAATGTTGTTAGCTACACAACACTCCCCGAGGGGAACAAAACACAAGAACAATTGGCTCATTAGAAGCAGAAAGACTTCAAACTACAGGATGGCTGGAACACGCTCAGAGGAGAGACACAAAGTCAGCAAAAGAAGAGCAGATGGATAGGTAGCAGGGACGTGTGAGGAGACAAAGACACTCTGACAGACGAGGAACAACTTTGTATTCAACCCTCAGCGTGATTTGTGTGCACATAAAAAATTTACTGTGGAGTTCATATGAATTAGTAAGACTGAACATGAAGGAGACTGCTGAAGGAGGTACACAGATTACACTGATCTAATAGTTAGTATTATCAACAATATTTAACATATTTAGTCTTATTAAAAGTTAATTATGTAGTAATAATCACTTAAATATTTACTCACATCTCTACAACAAGGGTCATTAAACATTTGCTTAAAGGAATAAATGCACTAATTTACAACAGATCTTATCTTGGGACACGATAAATATTAAGGTCAAATAAATGATTCGCAACAAGAACAAAGTCAGTCCAAAACAGGTTCAGATTCTGATGCAATGAATCTGACAAAAAATATTTTACACTGCTGTTTGTCCTCCAAAGGGTGTTAAATAATGTTCTGCTTTTTCTTTTTTTAATTGAGAATTTTTAGTTGAATCATTGTATAAAATGGTAAAAAATGGTAAATACTAAATAAGATGATGAAATAAATTTGAAAAAGTACAGAGCTGTTTACATGTACAAAATTCTTTGATCGGATTGAAACGTATTTCGATTAAATACAAATGGATCATTTATGAGCACAATAATTGTTAATCCAATCATGAGTGTTTACATGCACTTTTATTCAGAATAAAAGTACTGACATGTGCAGAGTTGTAAACTAACTAAACTAAAAAAACACAACAGAAGTTATACTTCTGTGAAGATTTTAATATAATATTTTTAAATTGCTAACAGACCAGTTTTCTTTCCTTGACATATTAGCATAGCCAGGAGGAAAAACGTCATGTTGACACAGGGCTCACATGCAGTCAGGTCAGTTTTCTACAACCAGAACAACATGATCAGATTAAGTGTTCACTTTAATGCTGTTCAGATTATSAATCAGCATAAAACATCCCTTTTCTTCAGATCCTACCAGATTCATTCAGATCGAGCTGGATCAGATTAGAATATTCTGACTGGGGGAGATTACATGACACATTTTTATTCTGATTAGCTGTTTATTCTGATTACTGATGCCCACATAAATGTTGATGACAATATAAGTTAGTCAATATTAATACTTGAAGGAAAGCACCAAAAGCAGTGTTTTGTTAAAGACAGGGATTGTTCTGCTTTCACTACACATTAAGCACAAACATGAAAACATTATTTCAACATTTAACACTTCTGCAGCTGACTCCTGCTCCAACTGTGAAACAACCTCACAGAAAACTTAACACCAGCAGTGAGCTGAGATCAGCAGGAATTAAAAGTTTATCCAACAGTGGGTCTTTGTGTTTCAGAGCTTCTTGTATCCTAAACTGAAGTGAACAACCAGAGGGTCTCTGTGGGTGTCTCAGCACCAGGGTTTCTGTGTTTGAGTCGAGCCTGATCATGTGCTGCGAGCAGGTGAAACG